GGCTGAGGAGACATTTCAGCTGTTAGATTAAGGTGTTAAAAAAACAAACACACAGCGAGGAGATAAGGTTTCAAATCAAATCAAATTTTATTTAAGTGCTTTTCATGTAACGAGTGCAACTCAAAGTGCTGTACAATATTAAAAACAACCACACAACAGTCAATTTCCCACCCCTCCCCCACAGATCAACATCCCTTCCATATCTTCCTCCTCCCACCATCATTCCCATCCCATGCAGACACACACACACACACTCGCACACACACACACACACACACACACACACACACACACACACACACACACACACACACACACACACACACACACACACACACACACAAGCTAAAGTGAAAGGACAAATGGCTGAGAGAAGACAGAAACGCCATCAAAAGGAGCGAACTGCACCGGGAGCAGCAGCCCAGGCACCACCACATGGGGTAACAGATCTTGGAAAGAAGCCTTGACATCCCTCTGCCCAGCTCCTTTTGAGTCATATCTCCCAAAGGGGCCTCCCCAGAAAACCCCTAAAAGATGCAACCAGGAGGCGTCCTACTCAGAAGGCCAGGCCTCTTTAGCTGAGTTACTTTCATGAGGAGCAGCAGCTTTACTCAGAGCTCATCATCTTATCTTTAAGGCTGAGCATGGCCAGTTTACGGAGGACATTCATTTAAAAAATTTGTGTTTTGGGTTTGTTTTCATCCTTTTATGCTAAAATCCAAATCTCATGAGCCTGGGTTGGATACCAGTAAATCAGGAGTGATGAGTGAGATAACTCTAAAATGAACCCCCTTGAAGGCTGCTGTAGTTTTACTGAGAAATGTGAAAAAGTTTAACAGAAGAGATGTGTCATCACTGGTCCTGAGCTTAATTCAAACTGTTAACGAGTAGAGCCATCTGGTTGATTTGGTGTTTTTTTCCCTTAGCAATCTGTTTAGATGGTTGAAAGCTACTCAGCAATTAAAGCTAGACACCTGCCTGCCAGTTTCTCAGAGAAAAGGATCTCCATACACACATAGTTTTGACCTTCATGCAGGACAGACAGTAAATCCTCAGAAAACTCACATTAAGTGCAGTCACGCTTCGTTTTGGACTAGATCATTTGAGAGGCATAAATCAGGAACGTCCTTCACGTCACATGAATCAATGGAAAAGTGGCGAGGACTGGAGTAACAGGATTTAATTCAAGCCCCCAAGACACATGTCAAATTGTGAATTTTATAAACAAGCTTTGGAATCATAATCGCTAACTAAACCCCATCTGCAGTCATCAAACAAACATCAACTGCAGCGCTGCTGGAATCATGAAGGATATAAAGAGAGTTGTTCTCTTCCTGGTGACAAAAGAGGAAAAAATGCTGCCTAAGCAGTGTGTGAATATTTCATGGTGTCCTTCACTCAAGAGAAGCTGCTGATTCTCTGACGGGTGTGGTCCATTACTGCAGAATCAACATCTACCCTGACAACCTGTCCGTCACGCTCAGATTTTCCAAAAGCTCTTTCGAGGTCTGATCTCACTGCAAGGTGACACAGTGCAACGGTTTTTATACAATTAGGAGGGGAAAAGCATGAAAGCCAGAACTTATTTAATAAACATTTTTAGACTTTTAAAACTGAAAAATCGACAGACTCTGGTGGGTTTTCTCGCAGAGGTTAATGCTTAAAACATTGGCAACAACAGGACCGTGCAGAGACCTTTGAAGGGGCAGGTGCTCAGGCCCCCTTCACCCTCCAACCCCTAACTTTTTGTGGAGTGAACACAGAACACACAGGTAAAACTTCAAAAAACAGAATTCTGTGCAAAAATCCATTTATTTCTGTAATTCAGCTTAGACTGAGAGACCATGTAAAGCAGGGGTGTCCAATCCTGATCCTCGAGATCCCCTACTCATCATGCCTTAGAAGTTTCCCTGTTTCAACACACCTGATTTGAATCAGTGGTGATTAGCAGTGTTCTGCAGAGCTTGAGTAGCTGTTGAACAGGTGATTTAGCCACTGAATCAGCAGGATGACATATAAAACAAGCTGGATAGGAGATCTTGAGGACCAGGGGTGCCCCAGATCTAAAGGCTCAGGAAGCCTTTGCAGGTGTTTGGATTCATTAGCTGATTAGATAGAGTGCTGCTCATTGAGCCTAGAATAATAAACCTTTTCACAATATTCTAAGTATACTCCTACTTCAAGTGGAGGAGTTTAAATATCTCGGGGTTTTGTTCACGAGTGAGGGTAGGAGGGATCGGGAGATCGACAGGCGGATTGGTTCAGCGTCTGCAGTGATGCGGACGCTGAACCGATCTGTCGTGGTGAAGAGGGAGCTGAGCCAGAAAGCCAGGCTCTCGATTTACCGGTCGATCTACGTCCCAATCCTCACCTATGGTCATGAGCGTTGGGTAATGACCGAAAGAACGAGATTGCGGATACAAGCGGCCAAAATGAGTTTCCTCCGTAGGGTGGCCGGGCTCAGCCTTAGAGATAGGGTGAGGAGCTCGGACATTCGGGAGGGACTCGGAGTAGAACCGCTGCTCCTCCGTATCGAAAGGATTCAGTTGAGGTGGTTTGGGCATCTGGTCAGGATGCCTCCTGGACGCCTCCCTGGGGAGGTGTTTCGGACATGTCCTGCTGGCAGGAGGCTCCCGGGTCGACCCAGGACACGTTGGAGAGGTTACATCTCCAATCTGGTCCGGGAACGCCTTGGAATCCTGCCGGAGGAGCTGGTGGAGATGGCCGGGGAGAGAACGGTCTGGAGCTCCCTAGTTGGGATGCTGCCCCCGCGACCCGGACCCGGATAAGCGGAGGAAGACGATGACGACAACGACAATTTTCTAATTTTCTGAGATTTTAAATGTGGGGTTTTCATAAGCTGTAAGCCATAATCATCAACAAACAAAGGCCTGAAAAATCTGGTTACACATGTAACAAGTGTCTCGGATATTAGTTTAGCCTTTTCAGTGGAACTGTAGAGAAAAACAAACTTTTGCACCATATTCTAATGTTTCACCGGTAATATACAGTTCGGTGTGCCTTGCAGATTTCATACTTTGTGTGTTCCAAACATCGCTTGATGCTCTTATTTTGATGAGCCACACCAGTGCGTTGGTTTTCAGCCAAGCAGGAGAACTCAGCCTACATTTCACCATTTAACCATGATAACTATTTATTTATTTATTTATTTATTTATTTATTTATTTAGTTTAGTTTTGTTTCAAACAATTTAGAAAAAAATGACCTCATAGAGTATAAAACTCCAGGTGTGTCTCCAATTAAGAATGGCTGATAATCATACTAATGAGCCATTAATACCATTCAACATTCCTTTCTATTTTATTTTCATACACTTTTAGTTGCAATAGAGCAAAAAGTCCTAATGGATGCAGATGAGATTAATTAGGCTTAAGCCTGAACAGTTAAAGCTTTGTTTGTTATGAGGACGGTCATTAACCAACCTCCTTGGGTAATGATATCTCAAATAGGACTCATTAGCATGGCTCCCAGGAGTCAAAACCGAGAGAGGGGATCATTTTATCCTAGGCTGTTGAGCAACGTTTGGTGACAAAGAGCTCCCAAAGGGAGTTTTGTTCATTATCAGTGTCATTATATTTTGTTGTTGACTCACTTTCTGCACAACAAGTTTATGTGAAGTGTCAAAGTTTCTATGAAGCCTAATGAAACCCATTTGTTTAACGATGTAAAGTACAAGCACGAACTTGGGCTGCTGCTCAAGCAATTCAGACCACAGTAGAAAGAAAACAAGATGAGATGAGAGATCTTGTCTGCACAGATCTGCCATTGGACTAACAATGCTAACACCTTTAACTGGAAATGTTTGATCAAAATGAGAAACCTTATGTTGCATTTAGTGTAGAAAACAAGTGATATGAATTTCTGAAAAGATGACAAACTTTGCAAACATCATCTCTCAGTAGCTGCTCAAACATCGTGGCTTTACTCTTAATAACAGAAAAAAACATTTCTAGAGTTCAACTAACTGTTTAAAAATAAAAGGGCTTCACAATAAAATACAAATGAAAACAGCAAATCTCCATAAAAATGTACATAAGAAAATTTTAAAACAAACAAGGAAAGAAAACATTAGAAAACAATCTAAATACAATTTTCTTCTACGTTTTTACCCTTTGAAGCCTGAGACATGTATTACTAATAAAAAATTACTATTTTCTGTGTATTTACTAATACAGCTACAGCAATTACATTTATTACATTTTATATAATTATGTTACAATAAAAACAATGAAAAAAAGACTTTCATAAATTAGCATTTTGCAACTGAAGCACTCATAGATGATCCATTAGAGAACAGAGGATATGTAAGATGGGTTTCTGAGACAGGTAGTAAATCTTCCAAAAAGGTACAGGTATTTTTGTTTGTTTGTTTAGCAATAATCAAATCACAATATGATACATTTGGTATCGGGTTGTCATCCACTTACTATTAAAGCAGATTTAGTTCTACGATACTAAAGATTTAGTATGAAAGCCTATTCCCACCACTCAGTTAAAACAAATTATTATCTCATAATTATGAGATAGCTATTACCTTCATTATAATGAGATGGCAAAGTCATAATTATGAGATAATATATTTATATATTTTTAATCTGAGTGGCGGGAATGGGCTTCCATACTTTTGTTTAGTTTGTTTCGAACTAATGAATTTAAGAGAGAAAAGACATGTACCCCAAATGACATTCTTTCAGCCTGAGCTTTTATGTGAAGTTGCACAAATTGCAAAAATAAGATACTAGACATTTTTCTAAGTTGATACTGGTCCATGAGGGCCACACATTTGCATATTAGTGTACTTCCACATGCCTGACTTAAATGACACCATTAACAGGCTTTGCAAAACTTGAGGACATGGTGGGGACGGCGACTTAATGTTGACACAGCAGTGTTGACATTTTCTTTGTTCAAATTGCTTCCGGTGTACACGGACGTTTATTTTGAAAGGGTTTTTTTTTATTTGGAGGGTGGATTTGAGGCTGAGGTTCCTGTAAACCACAAAAGAAAAGCAAAGTAAAACGATTTGTTTTCGCTGAGTAAATTCAGGTTATTTACGTACTCATCAGGACGTTCAAAAGTATTTTTGATGTGTTTTGGCACTAAGCGGAACTGACATTTGCGTCAACGGAAGTGTTTTACGGTGACAGTTTTGTCCTTCGCTCAAATGTGTCACTTTTGTAACGCTATTGTAGTGTTTGTGCTCAAGTCTGTGACAAAACCTTTGGAGTCATGTGTGTTGGACAAACGAACGCGTTGTACTCCGACAGAGTGTGATTCATTATGAAACAATAAGCAGGTAAAATAAGAGGAAACTGGTGTTTTGCTAGCGTGTCGCTAATGCTAAACTTTGAAACGTGACCGCTTTAGGAATGAAAAGCAGCTACAACACTGTTAACTTCGTTTTTTAATTATTAGAAATGTAATGGCAGGTGGTTACCTGAATGCCCAGCTATGATTTATAAATACCAATTGGTCTGGAACTTTCTAGAGGTATTTGACAATGTTCACTTTAACTGGCAGTGAATTGATACCTAACTGCACACCAGAAGAAAACAACAATGGTGTTTTATAGCAATATAAGCTTGTATACATTATGTTGTACTACATGTTAGCATTTAAAAAGAGGATGAACTAAAACATTTATGGGAAACATTCATACAAACTTAAGAAAATGGTTTTGAACATAAGTTGATGAAATGTACTGAACAGCTTTGTCGTCTTTTCCCACAGCATCAGTAACATCTGCCCATATCAGGATGTCATTCCCTTCGCCTCATGACCGCAGATTGAAAGAGATCGTGGACGAGGATGACCCCGTTGATCGGATGATATCCCGCACTGGCTGTGCTGAGCTGCATTATGCCGTGCAGGCGTGTATGGCAGAAAACCAGGACTGGCGAGCCTGTCAGAAGCAGGTCCAGAATTTTAAAGACTGTATGATGAACTTTCAGAAAGGTCAGAAAGAACAACGGGAGAGACTAAACAAAGCGTCAACGCCGTCTGTGGCCAGCTGAACTCATGAATACACTCATAGTGGGATGTGTTTCACATCTGAATGTTGAAAACTTATTAAAAATTAAACTTAAGAATGCTGAGTGGCTTTTGTTGGTGTTTATATTTATATACATTTGCAGACAATTTGCAACTTTTTCTTTTTATAGAAGCAAAAACAAGTTTTCAATTTAGTATTTCTGTAACTAAACTTTTTGACTTCTTGGTTTAGGATAGACACGTTACATTTTTCTGTGCTATGGAAACAAACCAGTAATATCTTTGGTACGTTCTTTCTGTGTTTGGCTTCTAATTCCATTTTTGGTTCTTTTTTTAAAACACAGGAAAGGTTTCTCTTTACCTTTGCATCTGCAAACATCCTCAGAGCTGACGCTGATGGTGGCGTCACTTCCTACTCCGTTTATCCGCGGGCAGCAGCCTCTGCCTTTCTCAGTGGCCTAGTGGTAGAGTGTCCGCCCTGAGACTGGGAGATCAGGGTTCGATTCCTGGTCGGGTCATACCAAAGACTTTGAAAAAATGGTACCCAATGCCTCCCTGCTTGACACTCAGCATTAAGGGATTGGATTGGGGGGTTAAACCACCAAATAGTTTCCGAGCGCGGCTGTGTCTGTAGCTCACCGCTCCCCCAGGGGATGGGTCAAATGCGGAGTGTGTGTGACAACTAATGGGACTTTAACTTTAACGCCACCGTCAGCTCTGAGGATGTTTGCAGATGCAAACGACGCTGTCAGCAAAGTAAAGAGAAATCTTTCCTGTGTTTTAAAAAAGAACCAGAAACTGGTAATATTTTCAGTCATTTCTCAAGTCCGTGGTCTGTGAGCGTCACTGAGACGATAACGTCAGGCGACCTTTCCACAAACATCTTACATCATCATTTATTTGTGCAACTGCTGTGAAAAGTCACAAGTAAAATGTTTATTGGAAACCATTACTTGTTCCTGTATCAATGAAGTAAAATACTTCCAACAATACTTTCCAGCAGTGGTGGAAGTAGTACTTTTTTTTTTTACTTAAGTAAAAGTACACAAAGAGGTAAGGATGCATTTTAAAGTGTACTTAAAAGAAGTTTCTCAGCATTTAAATATGTGTTGTAGAAATGTGCTGGGGGGGGGGGGGGGGGGGCAAATTGAAGTATTTTTTTACTTTGAAACTTTGCAACAGTACTTTTTTGTGAAAACTGGAGGTAAGATGGATGGTTGAACACAAGGGTAATAATTGAAGATTAATATCTTTTGTGTTTGCTTCAGGAAAGATCAGCTTCCTCTGATGACAACAAAAACAGAAAATAATGACAAGTTTTTAAGCTTCAGATTGTATTTATTTTGAAATGACCCTAATCTGACCGTCACTGCAGCGTAATCGCAGATTAAACGCCTTTGAAAGAGATTATCAGTAAAACATTTGGAGCTAAGATTCACCGCACTAGCCTTCAAATGAAATAATTAGTTGTTTGTTTTGAGCACAAGAAAAGTTTCATTCTTGATCTCCGTGGACCAAATTAGTGAAACTAACAAGGTATTTTGGAATGACTTTGGAATGGCTTGGTCTCCTGGGAGAAGCCGGTTTTGGAGTAAACATGAAGCAGACCCTCTACTGTGCGAGTCGGAGCATCGGGTGAGCTGATTCACTTCTGCAGACGCTAAAAGTGATGAGTTGTAACTCAATGATCGGAGAGCTTTTAATCAGACCTCCTAACAGACGACTCCAGCTATGTCTTCTCTCCAGACTGTGTTGAACAGCTCTGCCATCATTCACCCTCCAGGCTTCTACATCATTGGATTTGATACTTTTCCTTTTATCAGCACATACTTCATCTTCATGGCGTTTGTTTACGTGTGCACGGTGCTGTTTAACTCTCTGCTCATCTACATCGTTGCTGTTAATCATTCTTTACACACTCCCAGGTTCTTGGCCATTGTCAATCTGTCGGTGGTGGATCTGTTCCTGAACACGTGCACCATACCTGGGATGATAAAGATCTTTCTCATCAAAGATAACTTTATTCCTTTTAATCTGTGTTTTGTCCAAATGTATGTTTATTACGTATTAGCAGAGCTGGAATCCATCGCACTCACCATACTTGCTTACGATCGGTTGATTGCCATTTGTTTCCCTTTAAGGCAAAACTCAATCAACACAGTGCGGAGGATGGTTGGTATCATCAGCATCACCTGGTGTTTCTGTTTGGGTTCCACTGCATTTGTCACAATTATAATGACTCAACTGTCCTTTTGCAAGTCTGTGCGAGTGTTCAGTTATTTCTGTGACTATGCACCTGTGTTTCGACTTGCCTGTAACGACAACTCCTTGCAGTGGACTGCAGCATCCGTCCTCTCCATGTCCCTCCTCGGAGGTCCCTTCACTTTCATTCTCTTGACCTACGTCAGCATCCTGGTGACCGTGTTCAGGATGAAATCTGTGGATCGTCGACTAAAGTCCTTGGCCACTTGCGTGGAGCATATTATTGTTGTTGCTGTGTTTTACATCCCTCTGTTTGTTATTTTCACTATCGGGTTTTATGTAGGCGCGGTGGACCCAGACCGGAGGGTTCTGAGTCTGTCCCTGGCCTCCTGCATCCCTCCTTGTATTAATCCTGTTGTCTATTCTTTGAAAACCAAAGAGATCAAAATCAGAGCAATGGCGCTGTTTAGAGTAAACAGAGTTAATGCAAACAAATGATAAGAAACACTAAAGAAGACTACAGATTTTAAAACTTCATGTGAGTTCATAAGTGAAGATCAGAATGAAAAAGTCTTTTGAACAGAGAATGGTGCATTTTCTTCAGTGTAGTTCCAACTTTATACTTTCAGCTCACACTAGAAGAAACTCATGCTGTACATAATAATTTCCAATTGAACTTTAGGAAGATCTGTTCTGCTTTAGCTGTGGATTACTGAATAGAAGCAACACTGTTTTAATTTTAAACATTTTTTAGGTATGCCCTATATACAGTAAAGCATCTATCATACTATAATATAATACAAAAAATAATTTTATCCAAAATTTACCAACACAACAAAAACTATAACGGAATTCTGATCCTTTTTCTATTTTAATACTTTTAAATATGAGAATTTGCTTAAAAAAAAAAGGCTATTTACATACCAAAAGTGTGCAAGAAGGATTTAACTGTAATTAACAATTTTATTTCCTAAATATTAACAAGCATCAATGTCCAGCGCTTGATAACATCCTGGTTTTACCAAAGATGTTTGTCCAGATGTACCTCAAGGACTAAAATGGCAGTAGACAGTAATAGATTGCAAAGTTTCATAGTTTGTTTTAATATTATTGTACAAAAAACTTTAAGGAATTGAATATTAACTTGCAAAAACTTAATCTGTGATTTCACAGTTTTTAAAGTTCCCCTTCTTTCTATTTCTTGGTATTTTTATTCCATTTTTCCAGAATTTTGTTGCCACATTTTTCATTAAATCACAGAAATACTACCAACACAGATAAAGTGGAATAATGAAAGAAGATGTTTTTATGATACATTATTATTATTATTATTATTATTATTATTACTATTATATTTTTTGTATATTTGTATGCTTTCAATGAAGTGCCAGAATCAATCCATGCTTCTAAGGCAGTTTCAGGGTTAGTTTATGGAAAGCGTCCTTATTATTATTATTATTATTATTATTATTATTATTACTATTATTATATTGTAACAAATGTAAGTTTTCTTGCAAAAGTCCAGTGAACATTGAATAATCAGGTGATGAATGCTGCCCTCTAGTGGTTACAATGCGCATTGCACTATAAAGTTCATAAGAACAGTTGTTCACCTGCTGCAAGTACAAATGGGACTTTTTACCATAAAAATCATTTAGTTTAAGCATACTGACCACTTGTCCAGCTTGTTTCTACACCAGTTTCCTTAATGCATCAACAGCATACTGCAGCATGGAAGTCAACACAGCGAGGTCTCCAGCTGTATGGCGACCTAAGTGGGACTTTTCAATCAACAAAGAAAAAGATTAATTTGGTTTTCATTCAGAATGCTATGAACGAGAAAGGTAAAGAGGATTTTTTATGCAAATAAACATAGATTTGCAGGGCTAGCTAGTGTAGAATACTGAAGAATTATGAGTTAAACTCCAGATGACCTGATAATTTTTACCAAAGTCATTTCTGAAAAGGGCTTGAGTGATTTTGTTTGTTCTCCCATGGGGTATTAAGAAACTAGCCCTGTTCTGTAAATGAAAATGCCATAAAGCACCCTTTATTAGTGAATATTTTCAGCTTGTCAGCTTTGTTGACTTCTGTTAACCACCAAGTTTCCACAGTTATATTTGATGATCATTAACTCATTTAATCATATCACTGTGTGAATTTGATTATCTTCTTTTTCAGTGGTTCACAAGCTTTTTTATGATCTCTGAGTCCCACCTTGTTGTTAAATAGTACAAGTCTGATTCATTAGTGCAGCTTTCCTTTGATTTGGTTGATGGCCACATAATCTCTCTATAAGGGGTTTATAGGTCAACTTAATAGAAACACAAGAAATCAGCCTTTTCACGTCTGGCAATGGAGTGTAAGGGGTTTTCTGCCTTCTGATGGACACAAGCTGTTACTACAGCCTATATAAAGTTAAACAAGATACAATTCCTGAGTGTATGCAGACTCTTTCAAAATAAAACCAGGACCAGTGGAGTTTAAGGTTGTCACAAATGGAGGGCACCAATCCCCCATCTCCCCGTCTCTATTGAGTTGTTTAAAGAAGCAACTTTTTCATATTTTTTAAACATTTTCTCGGAGCCAGTATGTGCTAACATGACCCTTTTCAGGGTTAATTAGAGACTGAAAACGAACTAATAGAGTAAAATGCGAACAAGGCTAAAAATGGACTTGTGTATTTATTTGAGTATTATCTTCATTGTATATTTATCTGTAAATGTGATAATTGACTTTATTTGTAAAACTGATTATTTGCAGAAGAGAAATAAACATTTGTTTCGGATTTGTGGTCATTTTACAACTGTTCATTTGAATACTTACATTGGACAAAGAAGGGAAATGTTTCCAAAAGCCGTTTTTTTATTTGTCAATGTGTCATGTGTTTACCTTATGTGGATCAGGATGTCTAGCTTAGTTAGCCCAAGTCCTGTTATTCATTAAACACATAAATCATAACATTGTGATTTCACAGATCAGTCCCCTGATTATTATTGACCAACAGTTGTTTTGATTAGCTTTATTAGAAATAAAGTTCTTTGATTAACTAATGAAAAGCATTCTTCGTCCTTCTTCTGTCTTCTTTGCTGGAATGTAAACATCACAAGCACGACCTTGGCAACTTATGCACACTGTCACTGTGTCAAAGGGCAGCTGTTAAGGGCAGAAATGGCATATTCATAACACTACAAATGTGTCCCGGCTAAGCTATTTTGCGCGTTAGGTTGAGAGAGAGACCACAATCAATATTTTTATAGGGTTCGTATGGTTCAACAAAACTAAGAAGTGTACGTAAACCTAATGTTTGTCTAAATGGCTTAGAGAAGACAAGGCTGCCGTGGCTGCGCCGCTTACCTACAATGTGGAAGCTGAGGGTAAAATTGCCCTTGTTTTCCAGGCAGCTTACTTTGCTAAAAAAAATGTTAAAAACTTAGACTGAAGTATATTAAAATAGCGGAAATTGCTGGCTTTGTTTTTACAGAAATACTCATGAAACACAACAAGCATGCCTGACTTTTGTGCTGCCTATGGAAGCACTAATAGACGATTTCTTCAATCCCCACAACGTGGGATCACCTTTCATTCGTAAGATTTAACAACAACAAACATTCACCTGTGTTAGGCTGATAAGTCTCCGTCATCTTTAGGTAGTCAAACTATAGTTCTTGTCTGATTTCTCACCTGACATCATGTTGTTCTATAGGCCTATGTAAAGTATGAATGCAACCACACTGTCCAGTTACATTGGTAATTGTAATGTCAGGATTTGTTGTGAGGCGAGCCATGACCAAGCTGTCCTGTGATGTGTGCCGTCCCAGCCTGGTGATGGATGCTGCATCTGCCTGTGATGACCAGAGTTACCATTTGCTGACTCTGAAGAACAACGGGGGTCTTGTGGTCTCATCTGAAGGTACTGTGAGGGTCATCAGAGCAGCAGAGTGAGCAATTCGCCAGGCGTCAGCGGGCAGACGATCACAGCACATCAAACCACTGGAGTTCGTCTATGTGCGCAAGAGGATCGGGTCAGAGGATGTCTTTTTGCTTAGGGAGCATACCAGTGAGACAAAGTAAGCCGTACGGAATTGAGTCTCACTCCCATACACTGTTGACATCTATTGTCTCCCTGTTTTTTAAGCTGAGGATGCACCACATTGCAAGATTAGCAACTCAGCTTTCAGTGTGACAGCGTGAGACAGAAGCTCACAAAAGCTGTCCTTTTCAAAGGTCAGTAGGAAATCACGATGTGCTTTAGCATCTGTCTCTAGATCTGTTATTTTTATCATCAAAAGCATGTATAATCTGTAATAAACAAGTTTTTCATAACTGTCAGTCTGTCATTCATTTACTCTTTAATTTTTGAAGTGTGTATTTAGCCCTTTACTTTAACTCACAATTATCCCAGTTTTCTCTTCTCAAACTTTCATTTTAAATGGGTTGCAGGCTGAAAGTGGAAATAAATATAAATTATTATAATTACGTGCCAAAGCAAGTATATATATTAGGCTCATATTACTTGCAAATATTAAAGTCAAAGTAAATAAAATATATTCTGTATATCTTCATTTGTCTTTTTATAAAATATTTTCTCAGTCATTGAGGTTCTAGAGTTGTTTTGTTTTTTTGGACTAAATTTTGTTTCGTGCTTCTGTGTATTTATTTTTGTTTTTGTTTTACTATTTTCTGTAAATTAAATCAGGTATTTGAGTTTTTATTTATATGGTAAGTTATGAGGTATCTTAAAACTTATATTTATAAGTTGACCTCAGTTTACAAACTACAGCTAGCTCATCAGAAGCAGATCTTGTTGACATTAAAATGGTAAGTCTATGGGAAATTGGCAGGATAGGGGAAAACGGCTGAAAAGTGAAGTGAAATAAGGAGAGTTTCCTGCTAAAACTGATATATTTCATAGCCACGTATCTGATGTTTCTAAAAAATCAAACCGTATGAAAAACGGTTGAAAATTGAGAAAGTTAAGAGTTGTTTAAATAGTGCATGCACCACTAAACACCAGTGTTAGAGGAGGTCAGCTGTCCGAAGTAAGATGGCCGCCGCGTACGGACGCCGTCAGGGTCCACTGATGAACAGCGCGGGTGAGGGATCTAGCTAATATATATGATATCTATGGGTGACTGACCCAAATGTGCTGTTAGCAAAGCAATGCTACTCTGAACAATGAGCTTCCAGCCCAGAACAGGTAAGAAAATGTTTTTGTTAACAAATATTGTTTTTTGCAACAATTTTAATGATGAGTCAGCTATATTTCTACTAATGAAAGTAGTTTGCTCATATTAACAGGCATGAGTCACTTAATGAATCAGTTGGGGTTGTAAATCGTGACTCGCGAGTCAGTAAAGTGATTCTGGAGAATTGAATGATTCGTTCATGACTCGCACGTCACCATCAGCCATACATAAACCAAGCGCACCCACAGAAGGTCAGGGAACTTTAAAGGTCCATCTCTGACCTGAACAGAAGTGTGCTGATTCTGCTAGATCCAAAGCAAATGTAAAATATTAACATGCAACACATTTCTGCTCCATCATTCTACTTGTGACCCATCAAGCACAGAAAATCCTGCATTACTGGTTATAATTGTGATTCATAAAAACATACTGGGTACCAGGCAAGTGCTGTGCAGTGGCTAAAAATATCAGAAGAGGGCCTTGATGGCATAATTTACCGGACAAATCTGTATGAGAACAAATCAACAAGCGAATAATTGCTTCTAAAGAAAAGACCCCCTGAGTCTGTGTTTTAAACCTGTTTTAATACGTGTTACTTTTATTATCAGACCATTGTTGAACAGAGGTACAGGTATGAGGTGAAGCAGCTGTGAGACTTTGGTAAAAGAATGTGGATTTTTTTTTTTCCAACAGCACAACAAATTCATACTGCAGCACATGAATGTGCGCCGCGATGAGAGTAAATACAGATACATGTATGAGAGCAACGGTTCCAGTGAGTCCCATTTTTGGTTATTTTTTTAAAACACAGGAAAGCATTTAACTTTTTAAATTTAACTTTTTTGTATTTACCTTGCTGTTTGCGACGCAAACAAAACAGCAAGAGAAACCTTTCCTGTGTTTTAAAAAAGAACCAAAAATGGAATTAGAAGCCAAACACAGAAAGAGCGTACCAAAGAGGTTCCAGTGAGATCCGCTCCAAGAAATAATCATTTCTTAAAATGCTCGGCATTTCTCTCATTCGTCTGGTGTTACATAATCCACAGGAAGTGACATCACTTCCTGTGCTGGACAGAAATAAAATATGGTCTTTTTATTTTTATTCTTTATTTGACTGAGCTGAATCAAGCAGATAAAAAAAAATACCAGGTAACAATTTATTTTCCCTGTATGACCTCTAGTTTATGTTTTACCAACTGTTTCACATGTTTTTGTTTTCTTTCTTTTTTTGTTTGTTTGTTTTAAACTTTGTTTTCACAATTCTCATAGTTGTACTACTAGTAAAGAAAAATACTGTATTGTTAACTATCAAAATAAATAAAATTGTTATTTACATAACATATAAACATCACTAAAACAGCTTGTTTTAATAAGAATAGGCTACTGTATGTCTGTCATGCTTTCATCTAAACAAATGAAGCCATGAATGAGGTTTTACAGAGCTTAAACCAACCCGCCTCTATCCATTTTACCTGGACTGCTCGTCACGAGTGCTGCTGGTTTTCATCCACACATTCAATCTTCCTGTTCTTTCACTTAAAAAATGGTGACACTTTTTTCTCTGTGCAGAAATAAAATCCTTCCCAAAGACATTTACTGGAAGAGGAAAATTTCAATCCTAACGTCCTTTAATGCTGGAATTTGTTGAGTTTTACATGTTTTGGTGGTAAAATGAAGAGGCGTCAACGCTGGCTTCAGAGCTTCAGTTTGCTACAAGCACATGGACGCTGCTGACTTTTATTTTATTTGGATTGAGACGTTGTCAGCTTGCAGTCAACAAAGTAAAAAGTAGCATTAGAATGCACCATTGTTGTGTTAGTAGCAGTTTGTGTGTAAAATGTAAACTGACTGAAACTCCCCCCACCCTAAAAAAAAAAAAACTTTAGGCCCGTTTCCACTATCAGAACTTCCGGATAATGTTACCAGATCTTCACAGCATGGGCGGAGAGGAAACAAGAGAACATCAGGATCGGGTTTTCCTTTAAGACCGCAGATGATCGACTATAGAGGACCTACGAGATCTGCTCATGATTGCAACTATCCATCTACACTTGTAGAAATAAATCTTGAATTTATTCAAAGGTGCAATATGATGAAGTAAGAATGACATCCTGTGGTCAAATTTGGTTACTGCAGCCCATTTTTCTAAACAAAAAGTTACTTTCTCACTACTGTTCTGTGACCTTCATGGCTGTTGCCAGTTACGGATCAGTGCCAGAAGATTCTAGACGTAAAGACGAGTTATACACAGTAAGTTGACAGTCGTCTCGATTCACCGGGTTGGCCCCAAAGGAACATTTTCTGGGCCGTTTCAGAGATCAACAAAGTACATCACCCAAGTTCACTTGAGTGATGTACTCAGTGGAGGCACTGGACTTGTGGTCATGCTGATTGGTCGTAACTCAGCCGAAAATTGTAAAGACATCGGCCAAAGCAACTGGCATTTGTACAACTTGAAGAGTTGCTGATGAAGTGGAATGGAAAGAAAATAAAATCAGCAGCTTTGGTGCTGTTTTAAAATCATCGTTTTTAACTCCCAACGCCGAAAAATGAATTGGAAATCCTCCCGAACAACGCCTTAATTCATTGAACTCCGTGGTCTCCCAGAGAGGACGGTATAAATGGCGCTGGTCATTGAACGCCGCTTTACATGTCACACATTCGCACTCCTCGACCCCTGAATGAATTACAGTACAGCGTACTCTTAGTGTTTATGATGTCACTGGAAGCTTTTTGGCGCTGATCAGTGACAACGCTCATGACTGAAATGCTCTTGAAATGATGACGTCTTAGCAAAGTCCTAAAAGAGATGATTTTGTATGGAGACACAACGGCTGAGATGACCGAGTCCCAGAAATTTCCCGGAAATCCTATAGTGGAAACACGGCTATCGTGGAAAGGCAACGTCGATACCATACGAAGCAGTCAGAGCGCTAGTGCTTCACTTTTCTACAGCTCTGATCTTCCAGCGTCTACCACTGTCTAAATGATGCCATCTGGAGTTCTACTTCAAACTCTCTTCTCCGTTGTTTTAATCCCACAAAACTGTTCGTGTACAAGTCAACAAAAAATATTCTCTTTGAAAAAAGGAGATGCATATAAAACTGTAGTGAATAAATAATGAATGAATAAGGTTCAATAAAACGTGAACATTGTTGACGTTCTCATATTGCCATCTAGAAATGTCCCACCACAAGGAAGTATCCACGTTTAGCCCAGATCATCACTGAAAGGCGGACAGGGGCCTTTCTTTGCTCCTCGAGCTTCTGTAACATGTGCTCAGATGAGAGAACAGAAAAACGGAATAATAAAAGGTTTCTCCACCTGACTCTGCCTCGTCCCTCTTCCTGTTGTCTCTGTAATGTCCCAACAAAATTTCAAACAAGGTCTTTTGTTTTTCTGCTCATCCACCCCTTCATTTATCTCTCCTCCAGATTTGGAAAGATAGATAAGGGGATTTTTTTTTCCTCCAAAGTTTTCTATCTTTCATCTCAGGATCAGCTGTGGGGGCGTCTCCTCTTCCTCCTCCTTCAGACGGGGGAACTGGACAATGATTCTAAACCCACCCTAGACGGGGGAGCTGGGGGGGCAGAGGGTGCTGGCTGAGCTGATGGAGATATCATCAGAGTGTGATGAGGGGCTTGGATCTGGGGAGGGGTTGGAGCATGTGTCAGGGGTCTGAGAGGGAAGGGCAGGCCAGGGAGGCAACGAGGAGGCTCCGCCCACTGCACGTTGGTTGTCATTTCTGAATTCACAGTCTGGATAGTCTGAAAAGATGACAACTTTACATCCGGGTGGCGTCCTCGTCTGAGAACCTGCCCCTCCTTATCAAGAGGGGTGGCCTGAAAGAAGGAAACGGGAAAACATCAGGAACAGGTTTTCCTGTGAGACAGCAGATGATCAACTACAGAGGACCAATGAGATCTGCTCATGAGTGTAACTGTCTGTCTACACTCAAAGAAATTAAGTGTTGAAATTAATTATAGATGCAATATGTAAGACTGAAGTAAGTATGACATCCTGTGGTCAAATTTGGTTACTGCAGCCCACTTCTATAAACAAAAAGTTTCTTTTTGTGAGCTTCGTAGCTGTTGCCAGTTACCGATTCCAGAAGATTCTAGATGACAAGTGAAGATGAGTCACACACAGTAAGTTGATAAGTAGATAAATACATTATCAAATCTGGTGTTAGCACTCTTTGGTGTTTTACGGTAGGGATCTTGTACACTTATTATGGTAATATTTCACCAGCTTTATAGGACGTGCAGTTGTTTGCCGTCTTAGCTTGCTGTCAGATTTGAATGACTCATTAACAAAATAAAACACCACAATTGACTCATTATTCACATCACATACACATTTCACTGAATATTGAGTTTGTAATTGAAAATGCAGCTTGAGATATTTTTACAGCCAACTATTTGTTTCTAATTCACCGTTAGCATTGTTAGCTCAAAGTTAGCCTCTATCCTGCTTCACTCGATGTTAGAGTGAAACAAAAAGATGCCATGGCTTCTTTGTGGTGCAAGAAATAACTTCTGGGTCGCCCGTGTTTACTGGCTTCAGTTCTTTAAACAACTGTAAAGGTTTTTGCCTACTGCTGTTGAATTATAAATGCCTGCACTGTAGCGTTAGCTCGGTACAAACTCGGCAATCTCACAAACTCACTGAGTGCAAACAGCCATTATGTAGGCTACCTCTTTAGCTTGTTGAAAAGGCAAAAACTGGCAACCTTCCTTCCAACATTGAGACGGTTTCATTATTATTTTTACTGTAGAATTCCTACATATTGCTCCTTTAACCAAGTAATTTCAACTGGTTCTACTAATTGCTTGAATGTAAAGAGTAATAAACTTTTTTATGTTATGTTAAAAGTACGGGGCTCTGCAACTAGAATTTGACACGTCACATCACTGCTAAATCTCCTAAATCTCAAGGTCCTCCATATTTAATCAGCAGTCAGCCACACAACAGAAACAGGCCATTAGGTAGGACGCTAGACAAAAAAAAACCCCCACATGAATAACATCTGACACTCGACTCATACAAGGGTGTGAACTTATTCCTTTGCAACAAATGATGCAAACCAAAAGCTGTTTACTTGAGAACTGTGTTACTGTGTGTAGCAACATAAAACATGACATAATTCACACAACTTCATTTGCACACACAGTTCTATTAGACACTGGTGAACAGCAACACAACACAGGGCAAGGCTAGTGTGAAAGCAACAATGTTGCAGGTGATGCAGGAATTAAAAGGGATGAAAGGGAAGAAGCACAAAGCTAAACAAAGAGATGCTGTCACAAAAGCACAGGTGCAGCATCAGCTGGGTACCACTCAGGCATTGGGAGGGAAGGAGTGGTGTCACCAGCTTCACAAACACCATTTAAACTGGTTTTGATTTCTTTCAGGTTTGCAAACTCTCAAGTCTCCGTGGAAACCTGGCGTACCTTATCCAGTACATGGCCGGGTGCTGGTAGAAATCCAACGACCCAGATCTCTGCATAGAAAAGCTGTCATCCAGCTGAACACAAAGAAAAACCAGCACAGTCAGGCTAAACACCAGTTCTAACTGGGGTAGGGACCATTTCAAATGTCTGTGACTCTTTCGAAACCAGCTGATTTAGAGGGAATTATTTTATATTAGTGACTCACAGAGATGACCGACACGCCCGCGGTGGTTTCGTTGACTTTTGGCCCGGTGTTGAAGTGTTTCTTTATCTTTCCGGCTACTAACAGCTGGTGCTCATTCTCACATAGACCTTCATTCTGCAGCAAGCAAAGGAGAAGAACAAGTCAACATTTCTGAAATAAAAATGCAGCTGAAGAGAAGATGAGTCCTCTATAAACTCACAGTCACCCAGGGGTGCTCCAACACCTGGAGGGCAGTATACCTCTGATCCACCTCCACTTCCAGCATGGATCGGATCAGGTCCTGCAGCATGAAGGGATGGACAATTACAGTGCAAATTACATTATTCAGTTCACAGTTGATCCAAAACCCAAGAGTTTTACCTTGGCTGCTTCTGACACATTGTCCCAGTATGGTAGAGGAAATTCTAGCTGTCCCATAAGGATCTGGTCAAAAAGTGCTTCTTGATCCTCGCTGCTCCTGCAAACATTTTCACAATAACAAAACATTCAATGAGAAAGGTTTCACTGGCATCTAGTGGTGGGCATGTCTAATAACAACCAAACAAATCAAGTCAAAATGATGTTTGTCCTTTTTAGAGCGGCTTTAGTCTCCATTTTGCCTTTAAGTTTATGCTCTAATGTTAAAAAATAAATTATGCCATTTCAGTCATACAAATAAACCAACAGTAACATTTTTTGCTAGCTAGTGTTACTCTCTGTGGCATTAAATCAGAAAAATACCGGAAGTTTGTTAGTTTAGATTTTATTGTTCACTTACCCTCGAAAAGGAGGGAAACCACACAGCAGGATGTAGGTGATGACTCCAGCAGCCCAGATGTCCACCTTAAGGCCGTATCTGCAAACGAGTAACAAACTAATTTCACAGCAAAGGTAAAGTAAAACAGTAGAGTTGCAGACAAGATAGAAAGGACTCATTTCTAACCATCATCCATACAAATACAAGATGATATCTGCTACGTCTCTTTCTGCTCTTACCCTGTTTCTGCAATGATTTCAGGTGCTACATATGTTGGGGTCCCGCAGACAGTGTAAAGGGGTCCGTCCACCACTGTCGCCAAACCAAAGTCTCCCAGCTTCAGACTTTTGCTGCCATCTGCATGTTCGTACACCTAAATACACACAAACACAAAAAATACAGCAACATTTGTCAAGCTTAATGCCTTAATTGGCTCTGATTTATATGTGCAATGGCTTAGGAAGTTCACCAGTTCTGCAGAAAATAATCTGCTTTGCTTTAACATCTTTTCTCTGCAGGATTAATGCCACTGACGTAATGTCAGAATTCAACAAAATTTAGTCAGATTTTTATTTTTATGGCCCCAATCATGTCCCATACTTTTATATCAATGGCTTTTCACACCCAATGTCATATCTTGTGTCATTTGCCTATTTTTTATTTTTTTTTACCTGGTGAATGATTAATAATTACCCAGATTTAAAATCAAAAGCATGGAAGAGCTCAGACAGCAGGGATGGGAATAAAATAACCTACGGCCTCACGTTATGTGTGTGAAGTTAAATGCGGCCTTGAAGGAGAAGATCTCTAAAATGTGAATCCGACTATTTGCCACATGAAGAACAGCGGTTAGAGTATGAAGATGACAACAGAACAAATGAGGGTGTGTGCAGGAGGTGTGAAGGCTGCATGGATGAGTCATTTCTGTCTGTGAGAGCCAAGAATCTGCGGCATTACTTCATTGTTCATTCAGAAAGGAGACAGGAAATAAAAATTATAGAAGATTGTTTACAACGCGTGAACTCACCAGCAGGTTTTCTGGTTTGATGTCTCTGTGCACAATGTTGAGGCTGTGGAGGTATTTGATGGCATTAACCAGGTTGTAGAGCATGCCGCTGGCATCTCTCTCGGTGTATCTGTTGGCAGAGGTGATGGCGTCGAACAAATCTCCTCCCTGTAGGCATGGGGGGATTAGAGTGGTCAGGATCATGACGTTACAAGATGTTCTTTGATGTTTTTAGATTTCAAACTGAACCTGACCAAATCATTTCTACGTTTTCTGTCAAAACAAACTGAATTAGCCGCATTTTATATGGAATAATCTGTGGCGTCCTCCCTTAGTTTGTTCCAAACCTCTCCTAGAGGTGCCGCACACCGGCAGGCAGAGCAAGCAATTGCTTGGGACCCCCAAGCCACAAGGGGGCTCCAGAGGGCCAACAAACTTTGAAGTCACCCTACCCTTCCCCACACAAATTTTCTGATCCTTCTCTTTTTTCCCCAAGTCATAATTTTTCCCACTCCCTCCTGAGTTCCTCTCTCTCACTGGACTAGTTCCCTCTTCCACAATCAGCCTGTTGGACTTCCACAGAGACAGAATATCATACATGAAAAGTGTCAAATGTTTGATATTTAATCACTTTTCCACTCAAGTTCCAAAAAGTACACAAAGATAAGTTGTGTGTTACAGGGAAATCACTGAAATACAGTAAAAACAGACAGGAGAAATGTGCAAAAATAAAAATAATAACAATACAAAAATTTTTTTTAAAGAGAGATCATATCTCTCCTGTCTTAGCTTCCCTACATTGGCTGCCTGTTAAATTCAGAATAGATTTTAAGATCCTCCTTCTCACATATAAACTTTTAATAATCAAGCTCCATCATACATCAGTGATCTGATTGATCAATACTTTCATAACCGAGCACTTCACTCTCAGACTGCAGGTTTACTGGTGGTTCCCCGAATATCTAAAAATAGGATGGGAGACAGATCTTTTAGTAATCAGGCTCCTCTCCTGTGGAACCAACTCCCAGCTTTAGTCCGTGAGGCAGACACCTTGTCTACTTTTAAGACTAGGTTTTAAACATTTTTATTTGATAGGGCCTATGGTTAAAATCTGATGTTAGCCTAGATCTGGACAAGTGGGGGAGTAGAGGGAGGTGGAGTGTACAGTTGGTAAAGACGGCTCTCCCTTGCCTTGCCTCCAACATGCCTCCATCTAAAAGGCTAGGTTATCCAATTCAATTCAAAGATACTTTATTAATTCCAGAGGGAAATGAGAGTTTCAGTAGACACAATTCAGATTAGACATGCATGGGTAAGACACTTGACAAGAACTGGTGACTGTGGTCATTCGCATCCCTGAGTTGTGCTACCTTAATAGAGATCAGAGGGTTACATGAGGATTGGTTCAGGTGGAGGGAAAAAAGGCACTTCAGAGTTACCCCCCACCAGGAGGGCAGTTTTGCTCTGCAAAAAACCTCAGACAGATATGCAATAGACTTCAGACATCACACAACATAAGTGTCCACTAGGTGGGGTGGTGGGTTTGGGACTATCCACACTTCAGTTCCTGCAGCCACTACAAGCAGAGCATGTCACCTCAGTCTGGACAGGGGGAGGAGCATTGAGGGTTGGATTGTGCAGTGACCCCGGAACGATTCGGCGGCCTTCCCGCAGTCCCTCCCATGCTGGGATAGGAGACAGAATTGCCATAGCGACGGCACATTTCACATTTCTTCTGAGGGGGGGGGGGGGGGTGTCTTCGTTGGAGCTTAGCAGGCTCAAGGACACTAGATTCAGATTAGAAATTGTTTTGGGGCCAGACAGAGATCATGTCCTCTCTGTTTTAGAGTTCCTTGGTCCTCAACCTCTCAAAATCCCAATAGTGGACATTAATCTATCCCAATTCGTGCTGATTCGTCCACTCTATCCTTGATGGCATCCATCTTTTGTGCCAATGAATGAATCTCGGCCAAAGTTCCAAGCTCACGATTCATCTCGACAATTATGTGAGTCTGTGAATTCACAGCGCGGTGCAATCCATCTCTGAGCTCTGGGAGCAGGCCAATATTCCTCGACAGCTCATTAATTTTCTGGTAAGCCAGGAGTTATCTCTGTAGTTATGCTGCTACAGGCTTAGACTGCTGGAGGGCATACTGACCACTTTCCACACTCGACTACTTTCTTCTACAATCTGCTCTTTAACTGTATTATTTCCTGCTATTTCAGCTGTTAACTTGATTTTTCTCTGTTTTTTCTCCCCAGAAGAAGCTACAATGATGTTCTGCTGAGCTGTGGTGCCCTCATGGAGGAGGTCATCGTCTTGAACACTGTTGCTAACCATTGAATCATTCTCCCTCTCCTGATAATAACACTTTACTTTCCTTGACATTGAATGTGCTACTACTAGTTTACCCATTTAATTATAGAGTCACTCGGATAAATACAATAAAGTTTATCTCTCACCAAATAGAATACTTATTAAGAAATCACAATGTAACCATAGACACATTACTTGATATATATTGTGTGTGTGTGTGTGTGTGTGTGTGTGTGTGTGTGTGTGTGTGTGTGTGTGTGTGTGTGTGTGTGTGTGTGTGTGTGTGTGTGTGTGTGATTGCTGTAAAGTCACTGACACCAGTCAGATGCAACTTGCTGGGTTCCTTATTTAGGAAACTTCTTTCTGATTGGCTTGATGAATTGACCTGTATTGGAATGTTTATTATGTGAAATGCCTTCAGATGACTCTCTCTCTCTCTCTCTCTCTCTCTCTCTCTCTCTCTCTCTCTCTCTCTCTCTCTCTCTCTCTCTCTCTCTCTCTGTCTCTGTCTCTGTCTCTGTCTCTGTCTCTCTCTCTGTCTCTGTCTCTGTCTCTCTCTCTCTCTCTGTCTCTGTCTCTGTCTCTCTCTCTGTCTCTGTCTCTCTCTCTCTCTCTCTCTGTCTCTGTCTCTGTCTCTGTCCTCTCTCTCTCTCTCTCTCTCTCTCTCTCTCTCTCTCTCTCTCTCTCTCTCTCTCTCCCACTTTGGATATGATCACACATAAGCACATTTCTGCCGCTGACTGGTTCCCATCTATGTTCTGTAGTACTCCACGCCACAACATGAACAGATGGATCACATTCCTGGCTCGTGAATTATGCACAAACATTTCTTGACTCAGAAAGTGAAAATAGAGAAAGAGAGGATGAAGAATGTGAACACACAAGAGCCCGGGGACTTCTCTCAATCTCATACTGCGCAATTTTGTCACTCGTTGCACGGGTCTATTGTTCCTCGTTTGTCTTTGTCAACATTTTATTTTCTATTCCACTTCTGTAAAACTGCTCTAATTTTTTTAGACCATGTGTAAGAGAAAGCCTATTGGGTGGAGACACACCTTGACCAGTTCCATGACCAGGTAGAGTTCGTTGTAAGTGTCCACCTCCTCGATGAGCAAAACAATATTTGGATGTTTGACCCTCCGGAGGATGGCCACCTCATTCTGGATCATGTGTTCCTAAAATAAAAGGAAAACAAAATAAATCTTAAAGTAAAAACATTTCTTAGAGGGACATCTGCACCACTGCAAGTGATCAGCAAATGTGGCGTTATTTTTGTTATTTGTTTAAAAAAAATCAACAGACATGGTAGCCTAGACTTAATGTGCAAAGAGCTCTTTTGGTGTATTTTGAATTAAAGGAGACATGCTACGGCTTTTTTTTCTTAAGTTATAATAGTTCTTGGTTGATACTCAAAATGTTTACGAAATTCTTTCAACCAAATCCCTTTCACTAAAATTTATTTCAGCAGATTTATTTTTAACAGCCTCAGTACCTTCCAGAGGCGTTTCAGGGCTCTGTCACTTTAAGAAAACAAGCTGGAGCTGGCCAAGCCCACCCAACTACCCCCCCCACTCAGGCTGCTATAAGCTGAGAAGCTCCAAAATCTGGGAAGAACAGCGACTCTCTTCTCCAGGTGAGAGGTGGCTCTCTGCTACTCTCTGTGACATCACAAATGGGGACTTTTTGAAACTGCTCATAATTCCTCAAACTACACAATGACAGGTGGACAGGTATTTGGAGTTGTTTTATTTATACATTTGGAGTGTTTATAGAAGCAGAGAACCACTTGGAAAGGAGGCAAAAGGTGAGTTTTATATAATATACTTATATATATGACACTCCTCAGCTGATTACATACTGGAAATGGTATCAGCTTAAAAAATCATATTCTCACTTTTACACTTGACTTGATAGAAATGCGTATTGGAGTCTTATTCTCTGGATACTAGCTTACCTTTCCTCTGCATTTGCCTTTGTTGATGATCTTCAGAGCGTACTCCCGTCCCGTGGAGAGCTCCATACATTCCCGAACCACTGCAAAGTTCCCATCACCCAACATCCGCCCCACCTTGTAGTGGTCTGATATGCAGGATGGCACGGCTGGAACCGCATCAACGAGAATCTCAGCTGCACGACAAGAGGTTTGAAACGTTTTAGAGTCACTTGAATCTAAATAAGTTCATTTTTAAATGTGTTATTTTCTTTTTGGGGGATAATGAGTATTTTTATATAGTTTATAAAATGCATAGACTGCATGATGAGCCATGGTTTGACTGAAAAGCCCATCATAAACAGTTTTTTTGCACACTAAATCTCTACAGATCCCTCTGTAAATAACAATCAATCTGGCAAATAAAAATTTAAATGTGGAACCGACTGGTGAATGAAAATGCAAATATATGAAATGGGTCCTCCTAGGTTTAATGTTATTCATGAATTAATTTATGACTGAAATGGCTTTCTGGCCTACCTGAATAAAATAAAAACGGAAACGCTCAGATCATATTACGAATCAGGCCCGCTTTGATTTAAAAATAAAAGAATCTCATGTCTGACCAGCTTTTAAAACCACATTTATCTTAATTCATTCAGCTGTGTGTGTGTGTGCGTGTGTGTGTGTGTTGGGGGGGGGGGGGGGGGGTAGATGAACAAGGAGGGCTAAGGTGTGAGAAAACATAGAGCTGGGAACAAAATGTACAAATCAGAGGCAGACGGAAGCAGGATAGAAGAACACATCAAAGGTCAGAAGCATGACTCAGACGGTGCTGATATTTACCAAGTACAGAACAGATGAAAGATTGTTGCAGCACAATTTTCCTCACCTTCTGGAATGACTACATCGTTATCGTCCACTGGACTGGGAACCTGAGTGGAAGACAGAGAGGTGGAAGAACCCTTTGATCCCTGCAGAGAGGAAGAAAACAGGAGGACATTTTTATTTCTGCTTCTATAAACCATTATCCTGTTTATGTTGGTTTTTTTTAAATTGATGATTAACTACTTCCCAATAATCATTGGTCACCCAAAACCCGTCTCTGTATCTTTTCACTTATTAAAAAAACACTGATAAAGGCAGATCCATGCAAATGTCCATTTATGTAGAAAGTTGAGATGAGTCAGGAGACAAAACCTCATCAAGCCCTCCATCCCATAACCTTCCATCTGGTTGTCATAGCAGCAGCAGGGATGAGGAAAGAGGGCTTTGGAAGAGATCTGAAAAATGTTTGCCAGATAAATGGATCCCAGCCATTGTTACGATGCTGTTTCTCAGCCAGTATGTTCAGCAGTGGGAGGTGTGGAAGCAAGAAAAACAAGGTGAATTTTGGCATCCTAGCAATAATACAGCAAAGGCTGATGAAATACTATGTGTCAAAAACGTTTGGAAGAAAAATACATCCTGAGCCACATTGTTATTATGACAGAGAGGAGTAAAGGTCATTTACTATAAAGTATTAAATCCAAAAAGTATTTCCAGGACAGATCCGTCCTATTTCCTCACCCAAGTAGCTGTCAGTGGATTTACTCGTCTCTGCTGCTGCTGCTGTGACCTGAAAAGCACCTAGCTGAATGTAGCAGTGAGTCAGACTCTGCCTGCTTTATGTAACACCGTGTTTGGTCGGGCACTTCTCTGGGAACAAGAAAAAACCCACTTAATACCCGACGGGGGCCTCCTGCGCCGTATCTTAAAAACATCTTCATTCTGCTCTTTTTATTTTCTCTTCCCGGCTCATGGGTTTACCTCTGGTTGTGCCCTATCCTCTCCTCCTATCCCTCTCTCTTCCTGCCACCGAGGAGAAACAAAATGCTGTTGCTATGGAAACAGCTCACAGAGGGGAGAACAGCAGCTTATGAAACTTCCAGTGGGGAGACAGAAGCCTATATATGGTCATTTCCTGTCTGCGGGCTGGGAGGTGAGCTCAAACCTTCCATGAACCATTTTTGTTGGTCTGCCTGTTTTGTGCAAACGACCGTGAGACAGGTAGAATGACAGACAGGATGAGATGGAAATGATGAGGGAACAGAGAGGAACGTGTCTGGAGTCTGCACCCGTTGGCATCAATCATGGCATTCTGCAGAAACACGATACATACTGTTCCTTTAACAGAGTAACACACACACACACACACACACACACACACAGACCTTTGACATCACAGCTGGAGGTGGTGCTCTTCAAACCAGCAATGGTAAATACTCAGCAGCTGAATACTGATCAGTGCAGAAATGGGGATTAATGAGGATGTCCAGACATGAAAATAAAAAAAAGGCAGGATGGCAGAAGCAGATGGGTTGCAGCAGAGATAATGATCTATTCTGCGGGGAAGAATGTCCGCCAGCTGTAGAAGTGAGGATTAAAAATGCAGCGCACATTTACATAACCAACTTAAGGATGTTTCCAGCATTGTCCTCTCTGCTGCTGTCTGAATCTGATTACCAGATGCATCCTTCTTGCTCCATTTCTCAAGCTTGAAACCTCTTTTTCTAGCATGTTTGTGTCACTTTACATATCTAGGAAGATTTAATGAAAATTGAGAAGTTTTTTTTTGTCCTAGGCTTCCTCTCTAAGATTTAGAGGGAGAAAACTTACAACAGGTTATAATTCCAGATGCTGCTTGATTCTAATTGGTAAACCTGATTGGAGGCTGCTTTTGAAAGCAGTGAAAGTCTAAAGTACCTGGGAATTAGGGGGACGTAAAGAAAACAATTGTTTTTAAATCAAGAAAAAGGCTAAAGTTTCTCTTCTCTAATAAAAAAAAGCATCTAAAAACAGAGATACACTGTAAGAAATAAATTATTGAATTTACTCAAATTATATCAGCTGGTTCCACTAAACATTTACTTTTAACATAATAATGTATAACAATGTCTGTTACGCTTTACATTTGAAGGGATACTAAGCAGTTTTGTTTGCTTTGAGCACCCCCTCGTTTCAGTTACGTCTTATCTGTTGTTACATCCATCAGTTTTGCCCGGAGGCCTGGAGGGCCCCGCCGTGTGGTTACAGCTCTGGTTTCGGGAGACGTTTGTTCAGGACCATGGACAGCGCCTTACTAGAGCCCTGACGGACCCCGGCTGCGAGTAGTTACTCTAATGAGGACGCCAACAAAAGTGGCTATGGAGGCCGAACTGGGACGGAGAGGAGGCGTGAACTGAGGAAGGAGAGAAACCGAGAGCGAGGCACTAAGAGACTGTTCTGAGAGACGGATCAGATTGACTGGATAAGGGCAGAGAATTTGCACTGAGACGCTGGAGTTACAAGTTGACCTAAACCCTGACGGGACTCCAACGCTGATTCCTGAGCTGAATGGGAAGCCGGCTGTTTTGTGTTATGTGCTATACCGCTGACTGACTTTAAGCCTGTTTGTGTGCTCGTGGACTGAGCTAAATAACTCACAGGAGAGAGAGAGTCGGATATCTCTCTCGTTTAACACATATTTTAAAACCACTTGGAGTTCTGACTGTGGTTGGTTTTAATGAAAGTTCTCTCTCTCTTTTACGAGGACACGTTGAGTTTTGAGGCCATGCTGCCCCCCCCCCCCCCCCCCCCTTTATTATTGTTTTGGTTTAGCCGGGGTTTTTTTTTTTAGCTAACTTCGCTCCTGCTGGTGGATTTCTGTTTATTAAAGACTATTTATTATTTACTGAGCATTTGACCCTTCCCCTGAGTTTCAGGGAGATTTTTGGTTACCTTTTCGTCCCACAGGAACCCTTCCGGAAGAGTTTTAAAAATACAACTGTGTAAATTGACTTAACTGACTCGCCTTGTGTTATGTTTCAACCCCATACCCTCCTGGACTTGAGGGGGTTGTAACATCTTTGGTCAAAGCAAAAGTGAAACATGTCTCCTCGTGGTGTATTCCTCTTTTTAACACCTTAATCTAACTGCTGAAACATCTCCTCAGCCTTCATTAGTTTCTAGAAGAGCAGTTCATCACTAAATTAAACAAATCAGCTGTGTTCACAATCTATAACATGCAGGAAACATGCTGGAAGCAGGCTGCAGCAACAGGTATGTAAGCTAAGCTAAGTCAAGTGGCGGCCCATCACTCTGAAGTTGCAAGTCCGGTATTCTGGATGCAGACGGCAGTGGGGGTCTGAGTGACATTTCAATAAGCCTATAAAGGGTCATTTTAGAACATGTTGGCTCAAGAAAATTATTTAAAAATATGAAAAAGTTTATTTAAGCAAATAGGTTTGGTGAAACCAGTTGACATTTATTTTTTACAGTGTAGATGACTAACGCATGATGCCAAACAGCAAAGTAAGTGTAAAATTGAGTGAGAAAACAAAAAGAAGAATGTGTTAATTTGAAAAAGAGACAAACATGTGTTTGTTGCCAGATTCACATTCTCCAGCTGACCCAGAAACTCACAAATATTTCTTCATGTGGCAGTTTTACAAAAAGCAACATGACTGTATTCCTGCATTTCTAAAACTATTATACACAAAATCAGACAAATAAAGGCGAACACTTTGAGGACATAGATGATAACTGCTGTTCTGTTCTGCTGAATATTAAAGCTTAAGGAGCAATGCTGTTACATCTAAGGAGCTATTTTCATTATTATCTCAATAATGAGTAACCATTAAAATATGAGATGCATGAGAAGAAAGACGACAAAATGAAAATGAAATGATTTTAATGACTTCAACAAATGGAAATGAATACATTTACAGCAAAGGAAACATAAACATGAACAAAATGAGCTGCACCCTTCAATGAGGGATGCTAATGTTGAGTAACATCCTTTGTTCTGACAAATGTTTTCCTCTATGCTCTAAGAAATTATTGTTGAATTTACTTAAAGGGACTTTACGGAGTTTTGAATTTTTATGCTCGCGATTGCCCCCTCAGGCCAAAAGCGTAACGACAGCTTCAATAGTAGGCTCGTGCATGAGGCGCGCATGCTGTACGTGCACACTCCTTAACGAAAATAACAGCTGAGACAGTCCAGTGTGTGTGTGTGTGTGGCCCGGAGGACAGAGGACAGGAGAACACGCAGCTAATTAATTAAATAATTTGGTTCTGTCCCTTTCTCTTCAGCACAGCCGACAAAGGTTTAAGATAGGTAAGTCCTCCTGCATGCTCCTGAAAAACTGTTCCAAAATGAAAGTTGAACCCACAACAGCGACAAAGTGGCACTGCCTCTCTCTCTGCTGCTAAAGCTAGTGAGAGCAAATGCTACGGGCTATGCCTGAGCGTGAACGTGCATGAAGCAGCCTGCTCGACCCGAGCAGCTCTTTTTTTTTCTGTGATTTACAGAAAAACAGGCAATCACAGTAAAAACGCCAGGGCTCATTCTACAGGACCTGGACATTGAAGGATAATGTTTGAAGAAGAAATTTATTATTTCTATACATGTTTTGGGTGTCTAACTTCCATAATGCCCCTTTAACCATTTTATTTCAACTGGTTCCACTAAACCTAGTTGCTTCAATACGAAGAGTAATCAGCATTGTCACATGTTCTGTCAAAAGTAGAAGTATATTACTCTTTATATTAAAGCAACAAGGGTTTATAACACTGTAAGCTACTCCTTTAAAAGTGGGTTTAGAATCTGAGTAGAAGCTTTACCGTCTTCGCTTTGTACATCACTCTGCAGCCCTCTACTGACCAAAAGCCACTCTTACCCATTTTGTGGAGTGGGTAGGTGCCCTATAGAAGGAGCGCTTTACCTGTTATGCTAGCAGTTAACTTTGTTAGTTAGATAATCATCAATTAAAAACACAAAAAGAAGAAAAATAAGATGAATGCATTTTTTGTTGACATCATGGTGGGGCCTGGAAGTAAAGGTAAGAAAGTAATGTCTTTGGAGATAAAGAAAATAGCTAAAACCAGAGTGCATATGTTGGCACAGCCTACTGTAGTTTGAGGAAACAGAACGAAGCTATAACATCACCGA